TTTGCGGCCCGTGTCGGAATTCGGGGCGTATCATTCGCGCGAAACATACGCGGCTCTGTTTGCTTACTTGTCTCTCCCGGTTGTTTTTCCCGCCAGTCGGTACGCGTGTTAGCTCTCTCTTTTTTTTTTTACACAGCTCGTTCTGCTTGTTATTTTTTTTTTTTACATGGGAACGTTCGCAGTGCACGTCGATCGGCAGCCGCGCCGATTTGACAGCGGCGCCAATGCGCCGTACTTGGACGACGCCCAAACGTAATAAATTGCAAATCAGGTCATTGCTTCCCCGCTCGCGAGCGCCAGTTTAGCGTTACCGGGGGAAACCCCCCGGTGCCGCTTGATCTGCGGGGTTTACATAGCGACTCGCATAGCGAACGCGTAACGTCCGTCGCGTCGCGTCGGGTCGGGTCGGGTCGGGTCGGGTCGCGACGCGACGCAACGCGTCGCGTCGCATCTCGTTGGCGTCGCAGTGGTTTAGGCTGTAATCCTCTCTCCGATGCCCCCCACGACGCTATCGACGACGACGCGACGGTGGATAAACATCACTATCCAATGTCGTCGTATATGATTGTGAAACGCCGGCATTTTCCACAAGACCAAGCGAAGCGCAGTCGTGTAGTGGAAAATGCCGGTGTATCGTTCAATTCATCAATTCTTTAATCCGTTCGATTAATCTTGGCTTCTTGGTTCACTTTTAGTATAAGCACGAAATCATTATCGATTAGATTGCTCATCTCTTTCAGTCTCTCATTTTTTATTCATCAGAATTGGCGCAAATTCTTCATCCTAAAATATCTTAATTTTTCCATGACGATTTCAATAGTATAAATTTTTTTTTTGTATTTTAATCTTTCGGAACCGTCGAATTTTTGTCTAGAAATCACTTTAACATAGTAATATAAATTACTAAATACTAATGTTGCTGATATTGCTCGTGTGCGTGTAATTGTTAAGTAGATAAAATTGTGGGTGTGATGCACACACATTAAACTTCTGAAAGCCGAGGATTTTTATTTCATAGAAAACTTAATAAAATTCTCTGACTTTTCCCTGTTTGTCCTAAATGTTTTTCAATTTTCTTGACTTTCCTGATTTTCCTGATTTGCGGCAACCTCTATACATATTTAACATATTTCTATTATTTTATTAAAGTACCGTGATCTGGTTTTATTTGCTCCACTATTGAATAGCTTATTTGATCTATTCTATGAATTCATCTATAATAATAATAATAAAAGCGTAAATTGATGATGCTATGTCGATCGAAATAATAACTAGACAGAATCGAGATAGTTATAAACAGGAAACATTTCGCAAACTATTATGAATAGCATTTAAAGAAAGGAAAAAATCAATATAAAATGTTTTATCAACCTCTTCGCGACATTTTTTCTGTAAAAAAAAAAAGAGAATAACAATAGCAGTCTGCCAACGACAGGAGACTACTGCAGCTCTCTTTCTCTCTTTCTCTAGACATAATATTTATTCCTAACCCGACTAATCTCTCCTCTCTTCTACGATCGACTATCTACAGTCAACAGCTTCACTATCTTGGACTGGGAAGGTCGGCCGGAAGGTCAAACGAGTTCGCTCTTTGAAAGAGCATCGAAAAGACGTCAATGAAGAAACTGCTTTAAACTTTCTTTAATTTGACACTAGCTAATTTAATCATCGTTGTTATTACCGAACGATATTGATCCACTATATTGTTAGTTGCTACTATTCCAAGTAGATAAAGTAATTTAAGAGAGTGATATATTCAACGTAGTAATGAAATTGGAGCAAAAAGTTCGAGAGCGAATCCAAATAAGATTGCGTTAAAATGTAAAAGTGTGTTCTATAATTAAAAATTTGATTATTATTAATTTAGAAAATTTGACCATTATTTTTGTCATAGTAAGATCTCGACAGAAAGATGAATATTTGTTGCTACATTTTTAAGTCCTTATTCTTTAATTCTTAACGACAGTGTTGTTATATAGTATTATTGTTGCGTCTCTCTTTTATCATGTATACAATCTACGATACTATAACGACGTCGACGCTATCATTAGGTATTACAAAAAAAAAAGTAGAAAAACGTTGCAACCAAAGACGCAAATATTCATTTGCTTTTAATATATCGATCGATTTTTACATATATCACGCCTAATGAATTATATTATATAGAAAAATATATTCCATAAGTCTGAATCAGTGGATAATCACTGATATCAATCCCAATTACGCCACTGGCAATCAATAAATTTACAGTGAAATTCAATTAGAAAATCAATGAAACGTGGAATCCTTAACCTAGTTAACCTTGTTTTAGTGTATAAATTAAATGTACATGATATTGGGAACTGATGTGCAAATATCGGTATTTCAATTACATAATTCAAACATTCTTTCTTTTCCAATTGAATTTCACCGATTTATCTAGTGTCAAAGTATGCCACTGGAAAATCAGTGAGTACATCCACTGATTCAGATCTAGAGAGCAAAATTTCTGTAAATTATCCAGTTTAAAATTTTCAACAGCCAAACTTTCCATATCAGAAAGAAAGGATCTCTTTGGGTAAATTTTCGACATTGCAGTCATAGCATTCCTAAGTCGTGTCGTCGCTCGGAGCATCTGTATGCACGCGAAGAAGGCGGCGGCGGCGTGTACCGCAATCTGGCGCGGATCGGGGGCGAGATAAAGGCGGGAAGATACGCGACCGAGAGGAGCAAAGGAAGCCGCATCTTCTCGGCCTCCGCCAAAGAGCAGCGTCGTCGTCGTCGGCGTCGGCGTCGGCGCGCGCGGGAATAAGGGCGGAACCCGTAGTACGCCGTAATCTAATTTGCGATGCAATCTAGAATAACAATGGTCCGCGTCGCGGTGGCGGCGGAAAGGAGGAGCAGGCGTGACGGCTGTACGAAACGCATCGCAACGTCTCGCCGACGAGAAGGAGGATGAAACTTCCGCTGACTCTCCTCGACGTAATCACGGGACCGGTAACTTCCAAATTAAGTTCCCCATCGCCCGATGCCGATGCGGAAACCGAAGCGCGCGGTGGACGCACCGTCGACGTCCTCGTACCCTCGAGGGCTTTGCCAAGGAAAGGGCTCCGCCATCGATCGATGCTGAGATTCGAGGTATCTCTCGCCATCGGGACGATACGTCGTCGAGTATCGTCCCGAAATGTATTGACGCATTACGCCGCTTATGCAAATTACAGTTATCCGTAGGAAAATACGTTCGAGAGAAACGTTGAGAGAAAAAAATTGATCATTAACCCCCAAGAATAGTTTGGATCTTTTTTTTTTACGTAAACGATCACCTGGCATGTTTTTCACATCTCAATTAAAATCAACTGTTATTAACAACATATTGTATATTATTGATTGTTTTCCGATTATTTGAATTTTCTGAAAAAAGTCAGCGGAAATCAAAGAAATATTAAAAAGAATAAACACATTAAATAAGTTATTTATAATAGTTTCTAAAAAGTAAATATTTTTATCAATGTAACGCTTTTTCTCTATTGTGAGTTTCCAATGGAGTCGCACATTTAAAGATTCATAAAAGAATAATTACAAAAAAAAAGAATGTTAAATAACACATTCCTATAAATATTGTATACCAATTCACATTTTTTTCACCGCTGTGATACAAAAACATTCCAAATGTACTAAGGGTTAAAATCTTCATCGATATTTAATAGATATTCTCTCTAAACGTTTCTTAAATGGGATTGAATAAACCGAGGTATAAACATTTATTTCAGAAACATATTTTTAAATATTTTTTCTCCTAATTATTATAGTGTTCAATTTATGGGGTATAACAAAATTATTTCATCCCGGATAAAAACTCTTTAAGAGTTAATATTTTAAATAGTTCCAACGAGAGTGAATTAAATGTTATCAACAAATTATATTATATTAAGTTACGTGCAAAGAATTTACTCTATGCAATATAGCAACAAGCGTCAAGGTCTTTATCTGAAAACTCGCAACGAAAAACTGTAATACTATCAATTATGGCTGCAGGTGGAATCTTGTGAATCATGCTCGTCCTAGATCCACTTCGTTTTGCCGCGCGTTTGAAATAATTGAATCAAGGCACAGAAATAGAAGAAAAAGTGGACGAACGAGAAGTTATGTATAGCCACGAGCGTGGTCCATTTTTCTAGAAACGAGAAAAAAGACGCACGTATCGGATAGATGCAGCTGTGCCACGTTGTGATGTGGCCGGCCGGCTACCGAAGATTAGATATCAAAAACTTGTTCTTAGATAGCCTTCGACATTCCACGAATCGCGTAATAATCTCGCTGAAGGTCGTAAATGTCGATAACCACCTCCGCTGGATAGGAAATCGCGCTTCCTTGCCTCCCCCTTCCATTCTGACCTCCGCGTAACTGTCTATCGCCTGACGAGAGAGGGGAAAAAAAAAGCGCTGACGATAGCGTCGAGTGCGCCTTTTTGATTCGTGACGCGTGATATCAGGAATGTGTAATGAGACCGGTGATTGTTCGGAGAAATGCGACAGCAAATGAATGAGAAAGAGAGAATTGTTCCGGGGAGAGAGTGTGCGATACGACGTTTGTCGCGGCTCGTTCGAGCCGTTATTTGTAAAGAAGCTATTCGACGAACTCGGTCAAGTCTGCTAAAATTAGTACGACGTATACAGTTACAACAAATATGCGGAAGTGTGCTACGATTTTATTTCCAACAGCTTCGAGATATATATGATAATCCGCGATATAAATTCATTAGTAACGCAATGTATTGCTAATTCTCCTGGTTATCATAACAAATCTGTCTTAATGTTCCCTAACGTTAGATATTTCAACAGCGCGCACGAATAGAAATAAATGTTTTTTAATTGTATCATTTTTTTTCTCCTTTTTAATACCATACCAATGTCACGATGTATACGCTCGACACTGAAATCGAGTTTTTCTACATTCTTCGTAAAAACGTAATTTCTAAAAGTATCACGTGCTGTTCTCTCAAATGATCAGATGGTACTCACGGGTGTATCAGGATAACGATAATGATCTTGCAGTAGAAGACAACGTTGCAACGGCGGCGGCGGTGGCTCCTCGCAACGATGACGGTGACGATGATGATGATGCCGATGATGGTGATGGAGAATGGAGGCAGAAGCGGAGGAAGCGGAGCCAGGAGGAACCGGCTCATGCACCAACAGCCGACGATGATGAAGATGACGCGATATCGTCGCCAGGACACCCACCAGTGCTCCGACTATCAGCACGAGCGCCGCCGAGACGATGTAGCCGCTCGCACCCACTGTAACCGGAAATCGGATACCGCGATTGGTCAACAATTCAAGATCGGAAACTTCGTCGTATGCAAATCATCGTAACTTTTGCATTTATCTGTTATAACTGTGTGTTGCAACTGTCGCGATTTTTTTAAGCGACGAAGCGAAAGATAATGCTATCGTTAATGCGAAAATGAATATTTAAAGGATTGTGAAAAAATATCGGTGAATTATTACACTCAAAGACATGTGATCTCTCTGGAAAATTTACATTTTTTCCTACGTCATATCTCATGAAAATTTTTTTCATAGTTAAATATACTATATAAATAAATGAAGTTTTAAATTAATTAAAATATACAGTATGTATTATAGAATATATATATCCTCTGTATGCTATATATTTTAATTATAATTAATTTAAAATTTCATTAATTAAGAATATCAGTTCATCCTTTTCATTTAATCTATGCGACGTATTTTCATTATGTACGTGCATCTCTATCAATGCAGTAATAAAATAATTAATAATGCACTGTGCAGCACAAATGAGAATGGCATACGTTAAATGGCAACGTAAATGAAAAAGATGAGTTTTTTACTTACAGAAATGAACTATATAAAAGCATAAAGACGTCATCCGTCTCCTTGAATCATGCGTGGAGACTATCTTGTTAGAACTTAAACGCAAGTAATGCCCTGCGTGCAGTTTGTCGAGTCGGCACACAAATCATTGACACGTGGAAATGATTAGACGCCATTTTCCGTAATCTTGTTAGTGTCAAGGACTCGAGAGCGTAATCGTGCTAGCAAAAATGCACTTCGCGAATTATACGAAGAACGCCGTGCAAAAGCCATCGTGTTATATTATTTCATCAGAACGTTAGTAAACGAAAGTTAGTAAACCGTGAAACATTCACACGTGTTACAGCATACGATAGTAAATTTATCTATTACCAGAGAGGCTAATTGATCAATAATTAATATTTGATTACACGATATATTTATTTGAATTGGACTCCGAATGCGGTATTAAATAAAAGTGACAGGATTTTGTTTTCCTCTGATATTATCCGACAATTTCCTTTAAGAACAATTTCTCGCAACAAGACTCAAATACACATATTTAAACAAGTCACATGTATTTAGTGATATTAATAAAGTTAATTAATTCAAATCGATTACCAAACTTTTATTCTTGAAATAAAAATTTGATCGTATATAAAATAAATAATTTTAGTGGCAAACAACTTTTTTAAATCTTTCAATATTAAAATTGTTTCTCAAAACAAAGTCAATATGGTTCAACAATTAATTCGTTATAAAAGATAATGATAATGTTCTTCAAATCTGTTCCTAAAATCTACAATTTTATACCCATGCTATTAAGCGGTTAATAAAAATCGGTAGATTTAAGAAATAACGAGAAATTACACAAGATTGGTAGACTTGTGAAAAGGATTTCCATCGCGAGCCTGAGATCCCTTTCGAGCATCGCGAAGACGCGAACGTCAACGCCGGCAGGTGCACGCCGAGATCGAACGACCGCATCTTCCTTCCCCCCGCGTACTTCTACCCCGACAATCACCTCTCTCGCTAGCGACTGCGGAACAGCTTGGGTCTCCGGGGCTTCGTTCGACGGCCTCCGTCGCTTCCTTGTTCTCCTTCTCTACCGCGCGGCAGGGACACGCGTGTGTCCGTGCGCGTGTCTCGGCTCGGGAAGATACCGCCCGGATGCGGCGCGGCGAAGGACCGATGACGATGAGATTGAGAACAGGGGCGGCGCGAACGTTCGCCAAATCGGCCATTTAATTTTTTGAACGAGAGATTTCGAAAAATTAGACAAAGTATCTTTCATTCACTTATGCGCGACGATTCGTGTCGTTGCCAAATTATTTTGGTAGCAACACCAAAGTTTTTTTTTTCTTAAATCGTGCAATTCCAAGATAAAAAGTAATTTAAAAAATATATTTGTTTAATTCTATAGTTCCGATTGCATTCTTGAAAATGGTCTCGATATGCCTCCAATTTATATTAGATTCTTCTCTAGATAGAAAGAGAAAATTTGCTGACTTTAGAGAAAAACTTATATATGAACTCAAACTGGAAAAATACAAATAATTTATAAATTTCTATCTCCCATTCTTTCCCCTAGATAACATTTAAACACCTGTATGTCTCAATTGTAATGTAAAAACTCTCGATTCTTTTTGTGAGCAGGAATTGGATTGATACAAATTATGAAAATATATATTCTCTAAAATGTTTTAAGTGAAAAATTCTAAATTTCTAATTCTAAAGAGTGACAAAGAAGGACAATTGAGCAAGTGTTAAAAAAAAGAGATCTTAAATTTCTAAGGAGATTTTTCACTCTTTACCTCAATTAAATTTCACCTCAATTGTTTTCGCGAGTACCGTGAACATATTTGCAATTTATATTCTATACAAAAGAAATATTTCGTGCGTTTGCTATATCGAAGATAAGATATAATATCGAAAATATTCAGCATCGACGCTTTGCAAACGGAGCGTCATGAGAGTGTCTACTCACACCGGCCCTGATTGTGAGCGAGAGTGCGAGCGGGCACGACGCGAGATTGACAGAGAGAGAGAGAGAGAGAGAGAGAGAGAGAGAGAGAGAGAGAGAGAGAGA